GCAGCGTGCCCGCAAGTGCCAGTGTTGGCCAAGATCCCCGCTGCCTCGCCCTGCTTGCCTATATGCCAATGCAGCGAGTGTGCGGCCTCCCTTCAGCCTGTGACCGGGACCCAGAGGCTGAAGCCAACTCGATACAGTTGGGSCCCGGGCAGTGCAGTTGCACCTCTTTCATCAAGGCTTGTGGCCAGATTCAGATAGTGGGCCGATTTCCCTTCGGCATTTTTGGCCTCTCTACCCAGCATGCATTGTCGGCCTCACGTTCGGGTGCCCAGGGCCTAACTAACTTAGAGGCCCTGGGCATTTCAGCATTTGCTGAAATCCGAGACTCGGTGCACACCAACCAACTAGCGTGCTGCAACTGTATGAACCCCAATTCGTGAAATGTTGGCACAGAGGGCTCTTGTTGATTTGTTGGCTCGCCTTCACTTAGGGCGGGCACGAGGCTTGCTGGGGCCTTAGCCCAGAACATGTACATCATGGCAAGGCCCGTACTTGAGGGCTCAATCCTCACACTTGGAGTCTGAGGAGGGAAATCGCCGAACGTGTGAAAAAACTAGTTAGTTTCTTAGCAAGCAGAAAGTACTTAAGACTGGAGATTGAGTGCGGGAAGCACTTTCCGACCTGAATAGTACAAGGGCAGAAGGGTTGAGATCGCTAGGTGTTTTTCAGCGATGGTGTACCTCATGACGATGGTACTATGATGGTAAAGCCCTCATTGTCATGACTATTTGTGTTTCTTGCACTTACAGCTGATCCAATCGACCTCGCACCACGCCTAGGAACGATTGGACGGCGCCGTGAGTTCCTCTCACGAGCATTTCTTCTTCGTATTTTATGTACTCATCAATCTTATCATTATTATTATTATTTTTCTACTTTTTCTGCTTTTTGATCTCCGAATGTGGCAGACTACGACGAGTCTTCGTTTGGGCGACCTCTCCACCGCTTGCAGCTCAGCGGATGACCTTCAACAGTGGCGGACTACTACGAACCACGACGTTTTTTTGTGTTTTTTTGTGTTTTTTCGTGCTCGACGACCTCTCCTCTCCACCACTTGCAGTAACGGAAGAACCTCATCGGTGCAACCGTAGGAGAGAGTTCAGTAGGAGATCGTGGTACGGCACCTGGTACGGCATCATTGGGTGAAGACGCTACTAAGGAGAATAGAAGACGGGCTCGAGTATTAGATATAGCAACACAACACTTAGTCGTTGATCGAGGGATGGAAGTAGCTACCTCTGAGGGTGATTAGTGAGAACGAAGGATGCACCTTTTTGGTGGAATGAATAATTCCTGAGCTAAACTATTTTGCGCCTTACTTAAGAGTAAACCGAGCACGCCGCGGCGCGCTTATTTTCGACTTGTCGGAAGCGCTGCTCGGATAGGGGTTTATGAACGGAAGGGGAAGAGGAAGAGGAAGAGGACGAGGAAGGTGGTCCGGCTGCGACAGGTATTGGATGGACCAAGCGCAAGCTAATGGCTACCAACCCAACCAGTTTAACCATCCTCCTCCTCCTCCTCCTCCTCCTCCTCCCCCTCCTCCTACGTATTCGCCCTATCAACCTTACCCAATGTTTGGACAGCCATACTGGGACAGATGCCCCCACCCGGGCAATTCCCCATGGGTCAACCTGCGCAATTTGGCGGAGGATATGGAAATGGGTACGGTAGCAGCTATGCAAATGGAAATAGCTTCAACAATGGTAACTGGCGGGGTGGAAATTCTAACCAAGCCTTTTTTACCAAGGATCAAGCCGACTTCTTAGAGAAGCTTAAGTTTAACGAGGCAGTACAAGAAGTTGCTAAGCAACATACCGAAATGAAGCCGGCCGTTACGCGGAGCCTGGAACCTGGACTGAAGATCGTGGAAATTGGAAAGAAGAAGACTGAAGACAAGGAGGAGGAGATGAAAAATTGGGTGATGAAGACTTTTGGGAGTTCGCTGAGACTTCTCACGGATAAGTTGGATGACGTGGACCGAAAGTCGAAACTGGCAGAAGAAGAGAAAGAAGAGTTGAAACGCCTCCGAGCCGAGAAGGAATTACAAGATCTGAAAGAAGGATCAAGCAGCGAGAAGAGGAAGACACCTCCTTCCACTCCTACGTCATCTCCAAGAGTTGAATGAAGACCAAGAAGGTACCAGCCAGGAAAGTCCTCATCTCCTCCGACGAAGAAGATGACGATGGGGTGGAGCTTGTCAGAAAGAGAAGAGGGAACTTAACAAAGAAATTCGAGGAGGTGAAAGCAAAAGGGAAGGAGAGAGCAACGGGTGATATGACGGAGATCAAGGATCTGTTGAAGCAGCTTGTGTCAAGCCTGGGACAAGCGAAGGTCGCCTCTAGTACCGTGGAACCTCTGCCAATAAGGATGAGACGTGAAGAACAGGGCGAGTGTAGTAAGAAGACCGAGGACAAACCGACTGAGGGGAAGGAAGCGCATGACGAAGTCCTCATGGAGGACCACGATGAGCTGGGCTTGACCGGTTACATGAAGAATCGGGTGGAGAACTACAATTCAATGCACTACACACACATCATGGCCTTGTGCAAGGAGAAGAATATCGAATACACAAGAAAAGGATTTGGCGTAATGGAATTGGCGCGCCTAGGAAGAGTACATGAGATGTCTACACGAGATGGAGGAGAAGGGTGCTAAGGTGGTGATCGCAGAGGAGAGTGGGATCTTAACTGAGGAAGACCAAGATATCCAGGGAAACTAGAGGGGCGGTCCCTCCGATCTCGTCTCCGACTATTTACATGTGTGCATAACCTCTGTAATAGGAAGATTATTGATCAACCACTCGCTGAGCAGATTCAACGGCTTATTGTTCTGGTCTGCTGTTTGACCGGAAAGATAAAATGGGGCGGGACTTATCGTAAGTTTTGGAATCGGATGTGTAACCGTGAGCTTAATATGTTGGTAAATGGTTCTGCCTGTTGCTGCGTCTACCTGCTTATTTCACCTTTCTATAAATTGACTTACGTTGGTATGACAAAATGAAACCTGAAGCAGAGATGGAAAGAACACATCTACGCAAGTCATGGGAATAGCAAACAAAAAATCCATAACTAGCTGAGGAAATTTGGGGAGATGAAGTATATTGCTATTCCGATATGGTTTCGAAAGGGTGAGGTTGAAATCCGTGCAGTTGAAAAAGATATTAGAAAAAACCTTAATCCGAGGTTGAATGGCAGGATTAAAAAGGAAGGTAGATCCAGGAGATCAAGGGTTAAAGCAGGTCTACCTGAGGTAACAACCACGTACCTGGACGAACCTCTGTTTTTCAACTGCTTTTCTGAAGGCATCTTATATGAACCTGACCTCGTAAAGATTATCAGAAGGTTGAAGAAAGAAAAGAAGAAGAAAGTGATGATCGAAAATAACCATGGAAGCCGATGGTTGAAAGCTTGGAAGTTGGTAAAGATGGTATTTGGTTATAGTATCATCGAAATTGGTGGAAAAAGGGTTTTGTTAAAGGATGCCAAGGAAATGATCCAATGTGGGGAATCCTGGTTGTTATGGGACATAAAACGAACAACAGGTAAACATGAAAGGACAAAAGCTGAGGTTATTGCCCTGCTTCGAGCACCGTGGAAGTGGCGGGAGCTAATGAAAAAATCACTCAATGAACTGTTGGATATGGAAATTGTTGTTAAAACATGAACTTCACAAAGGGATAGACAGATCACAAGATGCATTCACATGAGAACATTGAAGAAGAAATTTGGGATTAATCCGAGGATCTGGCTTACARCTAAGATTCYATTCAACCCTTCTATTAATAAATCTAAGGTAAGAAYGTTGATATGCGATTGGATGAGTATGAAGCTCGAGAACAAYACACTTGGAAGTATCCTGCAGCAGYGGGTCAGGGTASTTTGGGAGAAAGCCCCTACTACCGCTGACATCCCGCATAATCAGAAGTTCTATGCAAAGCAGCAGACTGTTGACTGCCCTTGCAAGGACTTTGACTTRCCTAAGGTAAATGGGCACGTCAGGGTACGACTTAGTGAGYTTGATAATGTACCAATTTTCCTCTGTAATTCCAAAACTCCCCAGCACCACGAGGACTCGCAAGCAGGATCGATATAAATAAAGCCTGCAATGAAGCGATGACTCCTCTTAAAGGAATGTGACTAGTACATAACCAAGAACGGATCTGCATCCACCTGCACCAAGTCGGACGGAACGTTCATTCCCAAAATGAAGAAACTGTTAGCACGGAATACGTTTTTGGAATCAAGAAAGCACTGGAAGGGTTGGTTCTCTCTCCGGCTGACCGGAACAACGGTGAAACTATCATTGAATGCCCGACCAGATACTCAGAAGGCATGAATTTGATGCTCAATTCAAACGACAGTTACCAAAAAGTTGAAAGAACGGAGAAAGAAATCCTAACGAACATGAGAAGGGATTACAAAGGAAGAGGATTAAATCGGATTGCTTGCAGGCGGCATATGTGATTGCGAAAGATAAGGATCTTGAAAAACGAAGACCCATCGTTCCTGCCTTCTCTAATCCAGCCAGGTCTTTGTTTGGATGTCTAAGCAAGTCCCTGTTCTTTCATATGAAAATTCTGAAGGAAGAGAATTTTAACCTGCATACCATAAGTGCATTAAAATCACGAATTGGAAGAATAAATGAAAAAGCACACAAGGAATTTGGGATGGATGGATGCATCATGCTCAGGACATATGACATCAAAGAAATGTTTACGAAGCTTCCACACGAAGAAATCAAAGCTGCAGTTTCCTAGTTGATTGACACCTTTCACAAACGGGGCATTCGATGCATAAGGATAAAAACCAGAGGGAAGAAGGCCACGTTCGTGAAATCCCACGGAGAAGATGGTTGGCGTTCGATTCGGCTCTCACATCTCCGATCCATGGTGAATTTTCAGTTGGATCACTTGTTTTTTCTGGCTAAGGGTGTAATCTTGAGACCAAGGACAGGGATTCCAATGGGCAGAAGAGCCAGCCCCGCCCTAGCCTGTATTTTATGTATATTTTCGGAATCCCGGTTTCTGAGAACTCTCAGTCAAGCTACAAGACTGATCCAAGGAGATCGCTTTATGGATGACCTCCTACTGGCAACATGGTACAATCACTTGGTACCGGGCGATGAAGAGAAGGCACGAAACAGGCTGGACAAGATCAAAGGATGCTACCACCAAGACCTCACACTTGAACGAACGGATGCCRAAAGCGGCTTGATTCCCTTCCTTGAGACAAACCKTCTGGTTGCAGATTTCCCTGSTTGGGTGCATATGACCCACAGATTCAAGAATRTGGACACAATCTGGGACGGGGGAGTTCGACATTTCAAAACGATCAAGGACTATGGATCGTATGGTAGCAAAGGCCAGAAATGGGTTGTTGTCACTGGGACAATTTGGCGGATAAAACAAAACACCAACACAAAGTGGGCTGCCTGGCTCAGCCTTATCACGTTTTCTAGAGAAATCAGACTGATGGGATATCCTACTGAGGCGTTCATTTCAGGAGTAACAAAGGTGGGAAACAAAACTGGAGGCTACTGGGAGGAACTGGCGCAACAGCTGGCAAAATGGTACCACAGTGACTGAAGGCGGATCGGAGATAAACCTGATCTGACTCTTTCCTTGACTAGCCAACGTCCACTGACCCAACGGACTGGAATAGACTGACGAGGACTGGAACTGGAATTGCTAGGGCAACGGTAAAATAGAGAGTCGGGACCAAGGTGCGGAACCGAAAGTAGTAGAACCTAAGGTACGGGACGAAAGGTTGTCAGGGAATGGGGCAGAGGGATACCCAGGGCAGTGAAAAAGGGACGGAGGAGAAATTTCACCGCCTTGGGGTTAGAGCTCACGATCGAATCAGACAGATCCTTCGACCTCTCTACGAGGAGCGAAGCTGTTGATTACCGTTCTTAATGGTTGTCAGGGAACGGTAAAATGAGGAGTCGGGACAGAAGAATACCCAGGGTAGTGAAGAAGTGACGGCAGAGACATTTCACCGCGTTGGGGCCGGAGCTCACGATCAAATCAGGCAGATCCTTCGAGGATCGAAGCTGCTGATTACCGTTTCTTAATTTATTTTTTTTCTCTTTTTTTTATATGTATTTATTAACTTGGAGTCTGAGGAGGGAAATCGCCGAACGCGTGAAAAAACTAGTTAGTGAGTGTGGGAAGCACTTTTCGACCTGAGTAGTACAAGGGCAGAAGGGTTGAGATCGCTAGGTGTTTTTCAGCGATGGTGTACCTCATGACGATGGTACTATGATAGTAAAGCCCTCATTGTCATGACTATTTGTGTTTCTCGCAGGACGTTTTGTTTCCTTTTTTTCCTTTTCTTTTTGTTCTGCTTCTCTTTTTTTTTCCTTTTTTTCTTTTCGCATGTTGTTTTGTCTTGTGTCGTTTCTGTGTTGCGTGTGGCGTGGCCATCATCTTTTGCTCCGCACCACACTCTCGAAATGTGCAAAAACAAAATGAACTTCACGCTAGAAGGTTGCCAGATGCATCGGTCACATCTCTTTGTTTTTCACATTCCCCGCGGGGTCTAGGGGAAGATACATTCTCATTGTCCAGGTTTGGTGATCAGTGGGAGCGAGGTGCAAAGTCGAGACTTTGGACCTCGGACCCACTGCTCACCAAATGTGCAAACCGAGAATGAATCTTCCGCTAGAACATGGCAATATACACCGYGGAACTCACTGGGCTGCATGTGTTCAGTTTAGTTTGGTTYTCTCTCTCTTTCACACACACACAACACACAGCATCCTCACACACACACAAAACACAGCTCARCGCCTCGTGAGAGCATCCTCAAATTTAGTTTAGCTTGGTTCTCTCTCTCTTTCACACACACACACAACACACAGCTCAGCGTTGTCGAGCGCATCGGTCCGGCACCGCACGAGGCAGCGCGGGACCCTCCTGGCCGCGTCACCCAGGAGTTGGACCAATCCTTCGTCACGAATATACATGGAGCTTCCGCAAGCCGCTCCGGCCGAGTGCGCCAGCCATACCTCTCGCGAGCCCCTACGACAGGATAGGGCCTACGCGAGGCACGACTTACCTCCACCTTACGGGAGCTGTCACCTCACTTCGGTGTGCGTATCCCCGCCGAGCTACCAGTCCACAGTACGAAAGCTAATCAGTTGCAATCGCAGAGGTGGACCAACCGACGGCGTTTCTCGTTCGTTGTAGCATAGGGGGTACGCTCGGTACTACGCCTCTATCGAACCCGCGCGCAAACCGGCATCTTGGGGGGGCTGAAGTCCCAAGAGCGACTCGACGTCGGTCGACTAGGACGCATCCCACACGSCACACGTACACCACTCTACGAAYATAAAAATAAACACACACACAACGGCACGCATGAAACGACAYAACACAAGCAACGCGACAACACTCCTAGTCCCTTAGTAACCATCCMRTAACTTTCCGATGCGAAATTGGATAGGCTTCGCRCKCGGGASTTTGTATAAAACCGCGCGGACGCAGGGCTAACTCATATCGAYTCGCAATGCAAGCGTACGCAAGCAGTCGCAATGATGGCGTACTATGTAGTGCCCACAATCCCGGCCCAGGACCAACGTCCGACTAAGAACCCTCAAGAAGCAAACGAGCACAAAGGAAGGGTCTTCCTTATTTTTCTCAATCCTAACCCCTAAGTAGGCCTTTAGTACGAGGCCCCTCAGACCACGCGAGCGTCCAACATAGATACACACACATATATATATATATATATATACAAGGGGAAATAAGTATGTGACGATCACTTCTCACAGTCTCAGTGGGGCTCCACACAACCATATGTCTATGTGTGATCGCAGGCAGTCAAATCCAAAATCTGAACCACAGAACATACCTGCAATCACATCAAAGAG